TCCATAAAGACTGTAAGCTCTCATGAGCAGGGCCCTCCTAACCCTATTGTACTGAAATTGTATTGTAAACTGTATTGTAAGTACTGTCTCCCCCATTTTGTAAAGCGCTGAGCAAACTGGTGGCGCTCTATAAATCCTGTATAAAAATAATAAGACATAAAAAAAAAAAATCACAAGGCACACAATTATATACAAGACTGTAAAGCAGACATAGGTTAATTATAGACATGCATTGAACACATTACAAATAGATTAGGTCACATATATATCACCCTACTAAAGAGCCATGACGTGCATTGCATACAATCAGGATTTAGTTTGCTCTAGCAAACAGTGGAAAATCCAATGAGGGCCAATTTCCCTAAAAACTATTTTTCTTCTTGTGCCATGCAAGGAAATAAGCCTTTACTTTTGCTATTATTCTACCATCTGTGCAGTGGGTGAGTTTTTGATGCCAACATTTGTCTGTCTAGGCTCATTATTAGCTTTCCACTTCATGAAAACGTGTAACTATTAAAGCAGTTTTCAAGTTGGTCTCCTTTGCCAAGTTATGGATGCCTGTTTCTACCATATTGTTCCATAAAAAACAGAGACCCCTATGTATGTCTATTGTAATTGTGTACAAAAGCCTTTCTGTGTGCTTGGGTGCCCAGTGAAGCTTGAACCTCCTTCTATTTACTGTATGGTCACTGTCAGTTCAATGAACTGCCTCCTTGTTCTCCACTATTGTCCTCCACTCGCTTAAACATTTGTCACTGAAGTGGCTCTCAAGACAAATAAACTGTCACCCAGAATTCAGAGTATGCAAGTAGGGATAAAAAAAAAAGAGGGGTTAAGACACATTAGATAATTTTACATTAAGTTAAACAGACCAATGGCTTTGCATCGTCAATGGGGTTGGCATGAAATCCATAAGACATACAAGAAAGAATTCGAAAACGGCCAATAAATGTTAAGTGCTAGCAAACTTACTTTGCCACAGTTCTTATTCTGTTTGCAAAATACACATGCTGATTTTGTTGGCAGCAACAAGGGCCAAACAAAAAAAATACCGATCGCAGTATACTTTAGAGAAAGTGACGCTACATATTGGGAAATAAGTCACTTAAAGAAGATTACACGGAGCATTAGCTAACAAAAACATACTTTGAAAATCCCATCCAGATAAGTGTTGCGTTTATTGTAGTAGTTAATTATCAATCCAGCTGCCAGCATGGTCCCCTTTCTGCTACTAATGTCTTTTTAACTTCTGAAGTAGGAGGGGCATAGCTAAAGTCGCTTTTAAACAAAAGGTTACTTTTTCCCATAACTCTTACTAAGTTATGTCGCTAAAAAAAGTGTCTAGATTTCACAAACTCTAGTAAAGTCTGGAAAAAATTAAAATGATGACTTATTAATGAATTCAGAGTCTACCTTTCTCAAATTCAGGCTGTCTGATGATGAATGCTCGATTATGAACACTGCTGTCTGTCTCATTAAATAAAGATAGGCTGCATGATTACAAAAGTCAAAACGAGAGAAAATTAAACAAGAAATAAAAATCTGTTGCACATAACAAGTAGATTCCTTACTCTCCGAGCAGGATAGAGAATGATGAACCCTTTTGGTTGCTATTGGCAAAGGTTCTGCTTTTTCTTTCTTCCAATGTTTGTTTAATATCCCTTTACTCCTTTTCAACCAATTTTTAAAATATTAAAAATAAAAGTTCTATAGAATCCAGTAATAAAGTGCGGTACACAAAACATACATTGCCACGCATCCTTGTACTATTGTTTGCCTGCCATCACTTTATCTATGCAGTACTTAATACAGCTCTGATGGCTTTTGCAAGACAAGCGTTACACCAAAGTTAAATAAACATTAGCTGAGAAGGATAAATAAACATTCCTGTGTGCCTAACTTGGCGCAGGAGAAGTTAAAATCCCTGGACGACGAGGCTCTCCCACTCTCTTTTGTCCTCCGTGTTTGAAAGATCTTCAAATGCCCAAGTTTATTCCTACAGCAAACATTTCTATTTACAAGGTCAAGTGTATCAGCACTCAACACAGCTTAAGAGTGTAATTATTTATCTAAGGGCGTTTGAGAGTAGATCAGTAGCGTTGGCAGCCAACCAGCCCCCCTGCTCCCCTCCAAAACAAACTGGTTTAACAATATTACAACTTCTAATTGTTCAGTCATCTGTTTACCTGCTTTAGGGATGACTAAATGGCCGTAGTGACTGATGCCGTCTGCTTCCCAAACGCTACATATGTGAATCTGGGATTTCCCTGTACAGCTATTCCTCATTTGAATTATTTAAACCAGAAGTGTTCTCTGCTTACAAACACCCAAAAAGACAACACAAACAGACGCAAAAAATAAATACATCTTTTAAAAATATTTACTAAGGAACACTGCAAAAATACATCCGATTTCATGTGTTTTCAAATATTCCTGTTATCCCATTTATAAAAATACAAAAGCGTAAGGCAGTCATTAAAAAAACCAAAAAAAAAACATTTATACATTTCTACAAAGTCCATAAAATTCTCTGCAAAAATAGTTTTCACTTCAGCATATCTATAAAATATAAACTGTACATTAAAAAAAAAAAAAACATGACAGCAATTTTTTTTTTTCTGTACCTTTTTGTTGATGTTGAAATAATACCTTTGTTTACAAACACATAGAATTCACCTCTATATTTTAAATAAATTATTCATGGAATACAATTTATATATAAAGATCTGTACAGATATAGAACCACCAGCAACGTATTACAATTTTTAAATACACTATTTATAGGTCCTACCTAAGTAGAATCACATTGGCACTTCCAGTACCAGTATTAAAGGTCTCTGAATCGGTTATTTACACTTCATGGCTATAAAAAAAAAAAAGTGTCTTATGGTGGCAGTGCAGAGCTTTTCCTGGCAGGTTGCATTGCTTAATTTTAGAACAGCAATTGTGGGGTCGCAATGTAAGTTCACCACATGCCCACAATCTATAAGGCAAACGGCAGCATCTACACTGTAGTTGGGTGGTACATACCTTTGTAGACATTTATATTTACTGTATGATACTGCTTCAAGGTATACAAAATACCACGTGCCATAGCTAAACTGCCTATTCAAAGCGTGCCAGCTTGGCACGCGCAAATCTTTTTGAGTGGTTAGCCTGGGGCTGGACAAATCCCAGGAGCCAGGTAGCCAATGCTCCTCAAAAATGACAACTTTGGAGGTTCTCTAGTTGCTGTCAATGGCTCCTAAAAAATCCTGCTGGTTCCCGGGTTGGACAAACTGGCACCTGAATTCCAGAAAAATGTGGCTACCCCTGACTTGTGTGCTTATTATTATAAATACTCAGCTGTAGTAAGGCAGTTAGTTTGGCAACACACGATACCCATCTGTCATCATAATGTATTCAAATATCAAAGCAGCTTAGTCTTTTAAGCGACACTAAGATCCCATTTTGGTGAACATTCTCTAAAGCTAGGGAAATTTGGTGAGGCAGCTAACGCGTCGCTGGGGGTTCCGTGACCTCTAACCAACTTGATGGTGACAACTACAGAAACAAAATGGAATGGTGGCTTTGCATAGTTTGCCCTAAAGGGACCAGTGCTGCATAGTACATAGCTAGCTAGCATCAATGCCAAGAATTCCCAGAAGCCAGGAACTCCCTTGCGTGTTCCATGTATAGGTTACCTGTTAATACAAGCAGGAACAGCTGACCTTTACAGGGTTTAATACGGAGGGCGGAGGGTGATAGCATCTTCAGCACTGGAAAGGGGAGTATTGTATGTCAAGACTAGAGGGCGAGTAAAGCTATTCTAACGACCCCATAAACGGCCTCACATTTCATATTCTAAGGCACAGCTGAGACATATAGTAAGACAGTTGGTGCGACTTTCAACAAGGCAAGACCATCACCAGTTGTGCACAAGAACACTCTATAACTGGCTATACCAACTGGCAATCAAGTAGGATATAATCTGCCTCATGTGTAAAAGTGTATGTATAGCCCAAACCTTGTTTTTAGTTTTGGCTAGAGTGAGGAACGATAAGAACACCTGACAAGTCATCACTGTCTGTGTGCCTGCAAGGTATCAGTCATGAGACAGACAGAGTCAGAAAATGCTAAATATTACAGTTGTCACCAGAACAGGAAGTTAGGGTAAACTTGGGACACATGTTCCAGTGACAACTAAGAGGAGAATTTCCCTTGTGTCTTTTTGCATCTCTCCAATTGCACACAGACATCAAAACATACATGTACAGGGATTTGTACCATTGCAGACTCTTTCCAAAACTGGCAAAAAGAAGTATTTAGCTGGACATACACTTAAGGGCTCATGCACATGGACGGTTGAGCCCATACAATGTACATACCAGTGTATTTCTAGGGAGACGCAGGTACTGCTTACAGCATCCCATAGAAGCCAACAGCTGCAGGTGGGTAGACGTTGGTATTTGTGTACAGACATGTATGCATATGTACGCACATCCGGGGGCGTGTGCCCATACGCATGTATGGCTGTAGAAAAGTACTGGTGTAAAGCTGTGTAGTTATGTATGTGTATGGACGCACGTCCGAGGATGTGTACCCATACGCATACACAAGTAATGGCATATAACTGTGTACAGCCATGTATGCCTATGGACGCACATCCGAGGATGTGTACCCACATGCATACATGGCTGTACAGAATACCTGTGTAACGCTGAAGACAACCAATGACTTTATGGGAGGCTCCCTGGCATTTACATTGTATGGGTACCGCCGCCCATGTCCACAAGCCCCCAGAGGATGTGTGTTCTTGCTGCCCATAGCAACCAGATGTTTTTTCCTTTCAATTCCCAACAATGACAGCTGGAAGGTGGTTGCTATGGCCAGCAGATGCCCATTCCTACACTGGGATAAATGAGGTTCAGCAAGGCACACTGGATGAGCTGGACACTAGAGTAATACATAATGACAGCCCTATGGCTCCGCTGAGAGTCCACACATACAAGGCGTCCATGTCACCCCAGCAGAACAAGCAGCACCATGGATGTCCCCAAGATCCCCAGCAGGGAAGCGGAAGTGGCGGCCGAGCCCCCGGTGGTGTCACTAATCACCCGGTTCATGTCCTCTTCCTGGGAGCCTTCCCTGCCCTGGTGGAGTTCATCATCGTACTCCTCATCGTCATAATCGTAGTCTGAGCCCCCACTGCTGCCCGGCCCCACGTTGCCCATGTCTGCCCCGAAGCAGAGGCGAGCCATGTTCTCTTTGATGGACTCGCAGATGGGCCTCTCCAGGCCGTCACACACGCAGTCATTGAGTAGCAGAGCCTTGGGCACCTGCATCATGTCCTCTATAACCCCCCGGCACTCGTCCGTGCAGCGCACCCCATTGAACAGCCGGCCGCACTTGGTCAGGTAGCGGCTGAGCGAAGAGTGGCAGCGCCGGTCACTCTCACATAGTCTGCGGGCTTCCATGCAGCCCATGACCGCCCCGCCTCCCCCGGCGGCTCCGCCCCCTCCTCCAGCACTAGCACCTCCGCTGGTCCTCGGCATGCACGGCTCGATGGCCCGCTTAGTGGCTTTGCAGAGTTCGTCCATGGCGCAGTCACAGTCCTCCAGAGCGGGGCCTCCCTTGGTGTAGTTGAGCTGGATGAGGGCTGAGATGCAGTGGCTGGGGCAGCGGCGGCGGCCCGTGCTGTGCGAGGACGGGGCCTCTCCCGGCCGGGGCAAGGCTGACGAACAAGCCTCGGTGTACTGGCTGTAGGCATAGCTGCAGTCCGATTCCCGCTGGCACTGCAGGATGGCCTGCCAGCAGATGAGGCGCCGGCTGAGGGCCAGCGCGAACAGCGAGGCTAGCAACAGCGTGCACACTACCCTCCGACCGGCCATGACCGGCGGCTTCTAGCGCCTCTCCTCCCGGTTCCTTCTACCGCATGTGGCTGGGATCACAGCATCACGGCGTCCTCAGTGACAATAGCGGGGAAGTCCCGATGGCTCGCTCACCAGTCATCACAGTTCATGTCGCTGGGCTCCGTTTTCTACTGGCAGAAAGATCGCGATCACTGCGCTCCTGCCTCTGTTTGCGCTTCTTCCAAACGAGCAGCCTGCCACAGTCCTGCTAATGCAATTTCACTTTCTGAGGAGGAGAAAGAGAGGGAAAACTTGGGGCTCCTTTGCTTCTGCTGCTGCCTCCTCTTCTTCTTCTTCTTCTTCTTCTCCTCCTCAGATGCTTCCTTTGTCGGCTCACCGGGATGATTCCAGCAAACGTTTGCAGGCTTTATATATAGAAGTGCGCTGACGGCGTGCTTTCATTCGCCCTCATTATGCATGCATGGGGAAGAAAGCAAACAAACAGAAAATAAAGCGATGCTGCGGCTTCTCATCCAGGCTGCTAGGGCTCGCTGCTTTTCTCCCGATCTCCTCGCCCTTTGCTCAGCCCCTTTCCCGGCTCTCCCAGCTGCGATTGGTCCAGCCGCTTGTTGTTGAAACTTTTTTTTGTGTGTGTGTATGAGATCCTCGGTAGGGGGATGGTGATGGGGGAGAGGGGGGCGTTGAGAAGCAAATGCTTTAGGATGACACAAAGCCCACCCCTTTCTCCAGCTACTTCTAATCATTATGTTTTTTTAGACTGCTTTTAAGAAGATGAAATCCTAATTACAGTCCTGTGCCGTGTTAGCCCTCCACTAGTGTGCGATGTTTAAGTGATGCCCCTCATTGAACAAGTTATTAAAGATGCAAGCTTTCCGGATGCCCTAGATCTCTTCATCACAAATGTGTAAAACCTGACAAAGGGAGTGAAGGAATCCCAAAAGCTTGCATCGTTCCACCTAGGTCTTCTCAGTAGTTCGGGGAACCTTGTTATACCTTAGGGTTTGAAGTTTAAGTCATACCTAACTTTATTATATAACTTATTAAAGATGCAAGCTTTCCGAGTGCCCTAGATCTCTTCATCCGAAATGTATAAAACCTGGCAAAGGGAGTGAAGGAATCCCAAAAGCTTGCATCGTTCCGCCTAGGTCTTCTCAGTAGTTGGGGGATCCTTGTCAAACCTTAGGGTTTGAAGCTTAAAGGAGAACTATGAGGTGAGTGCTTTTCACTCACCTCATAGTTCTAGCCGACCTGTGACAATGAGACTGTCACAGGTCGGCTCAGTAGATCGGGAGGTGAGCGAACACATACCGGGTTCGCTCACCTCTCGATCCTGTCACGGCTCTCTGCCGTGACAGGGGGAGGGGCTGGATTCCCCTCTCCCCGCTCCGATCTGCCAGCGCTGACTGGCGGAACGGACGGGGGAGGGGGCGGGTACAGCTGGCTCTGCCTCTAGATAGGCAGAGCCAGCTGTCACTCACGCAGCTGGGCGGATCCCGTCATCTACGTCGGGATCCGCTCCGGCTGCCGCGTCTCAGTATACCGCGAGCTGTAGCTCGCGGTATACTGAGCTTAGGGTAACGGGAGGACGCTAGTTTGTGTCCTCCCGTTACCCTAAGGAGAACTATGGGGAAAAACACTGACCCCATAGTTCTCCTTTAAGATATACCCTTTATTATCTAACTTATTGAAGATGTAAGATTTAGGGGTTCCTTAGATCTCTTCATCAGAAATGTATCAAACCTGACAAAGGGAAGGAAGGAATCCCAAAAGCTTGCATCTATCCACCTAGGTCTTCTCAGTAGTTGGGGGATCCTTGTTATACCCGTTATTATCTAACTTATCCACTTGCTGCCCGGCGCAATTTCTTACATTTGCGCACACATGATAAAATCAGAGTTTTTGGCTAGAAAACAGCTTAAAACACACAGACAATGATATATTTTCTGAAAGCAGAGGCCATGTAGAATAAAAAAAAAAATGCTAGTTGCAATATTTTATGTTGAACGTTATTTGCGCAAATGTGTATCAAACTAGTATTTTAAGGATAAAAATATACTAAAGTGAAATTTAGTGCACAGAAACAGAATAAAATACCCAATTTTTGGTAAAATATAAAAGATGGGGTCATGTCGGGTAAATAGATACCAAACATGTCAAGCTTAAAAATTCCATTCGGCCGTGAAGCCGCAAAACACTACAATACCCAAAATGTCCCCACAGGGGACACTTTAAAAGCTTTTACTGTTCATCAGTTTAGTGCTAACAGTGATTGATGGCTCTAAAATTATTGCTTTCACTCTGACGTTCGCAGCAATATGTAACATGTAAAGCGCAATTTTCGTGCGTGTTTACATATGAATGTGTGGGGGGCAGGAGACTTTAAAAAACATTTTTTTGCATTTATTTATATCTTATTTTTTTTTTTATACTAACTTTATTGCTATCACATAGGGGATAACAAGCCCCCTATATAATAGCAAATAGGGTTTGACAGGTCCTCTTTATGGAGACATCAGAGGTCTTTCAGACCCCTAATGTCACCTAGGGACCCCAAAGAAACAGAGGAAGCAGAGATCTGATTCCCCAGCTTCTACTGGCTCTAAGAGCCGGAAAGTGTAAACAGTGACACTAGAAGTGATGTAATGCACATCACTTCCAGGTCCAGTGATTGGAGGAAAAATCAGCGGCTGGAAGCCTGCTGTTTTCTCTCCAATCGTTGTGGGGAGACCCGCCCGGTGGCACTTTTTGCCAATCGATACCAATGATCCGGCAGATGTATAGTCGGCGGATCGCTTGTATCTTAACATCCTCAACATCCTTAACTTAACATGTATCTTAACATTTATACATCAAATGTATAAAACCTGACAAAGGGAGCTAAGGAATCCCAAACAATGCATTCAAGTCCCTTAAAGTGACACTAAACTCAGGAGTTAAACCAAAAAATGCATTTAAGTGTCTTAACAAATAACAAAAATGTATCGTATTTGTGTATCACTCAGCTGTAGAGTCTCAAATCATATATGAATTGGTGCTGACACTGTCCTTCCTTCTGGAGGGTGGCTACTTTTCTTCCCCATGGTCCCTGTGTGTGTTGTAAAGTAGCCACCGCTCCAAGCTCACTCCGGTGATGGACTACAATCTCAATACAAATAAGTAAACTAAACATGAGATTGTAGTCCATCACAGGAGTGAGCTTGTTACTGTTAGGTTGGCTACTTTACAACACACACAGGGACCATGAGGAACAAAAGTAGTCACTCTCCAGAAGGAAGGACAGTATCAGCCCCAATTCAGAGATGATTTGAGGATCTACAGCCGAGTGATACACAAATAAGATACATTTTTGTTAACAGAAATGTATCTTATTTGTGTGTCACTCAGCTCTAGCTCTTCAAATCTCACAACAGCCCCTAAAGACTTTGATTATTTACCCCTCCAGTGTGTGGCACATCCTCATCCTTTTTTACGTATTTTTAAATGGCTGCCATGGACTGATGCATTCCATCCTGTTACATCAGACTGTGCCTCAAAATGGATGTTTAAGAGATTCCCCCTACTCATGTAAAAATGCTATGAACAGATTTTTTTTTAAAAAGGTTACCTTACACTGTGGCCTCCAGCATCTTTGCTTAGGCGGTGGTGATGTCACTTAAGCTGGTCATACACTGTTAGAATTTTGGCCGATTCCTGGGATTCAGACAAAATTCTAACCATTTCTGGCCTGTCAGCACTACCTAGCTTGGTAAACTTTGATTGAAAGAGATACGTTGACTTATATTGTGCTGCAGAGAGATAAATCCAGTTTGTAGTGTAAACAGATAGCTCTTGTGCCATAGCAGGCAGAAGAAAAGCCATCCTCTCTCTTGGTTCACCCCAGATACTTTCTATACTACACTGTCAGAATGGATTCCATTGGGGTCAGGCGAAATGCCTGAGGCTCTGAAATGTCTCAGCTCAGATGTACTGCATTTTTGGGATGTGAGAAACAGCTATGATGGTTCAAGAATGAATAGGGCAGCCATCTAGTCTCCATAAAATATAAAAAAAACATCTATTAACTATAATTGTATGAAAAGAAAAAAGCTGTTCTAGTCAATGAGACTACAGCAGATTTTTTCAAGGTTGAAGGTTAAACACAAATGTAGTAATTGTCCTGGTGGGATGCTAATACTGACATATAGTAACCTTTTTTTTAAATTTACTACTAGTACTGCAAAAATTAACAAAGGATTAATGACTTAAAGAGAACCTGTCATCAAGTTAAACATTTGAAACAATTTCACTAAGAATGCAATGATCACATGACCTACGTTGACATTCCTCTTCAGAGCGGGGCGCAGACATTGTAATGGTACCGTCTGTGTGCCCTGCATTACAGAAGCTGGGAGCCACTGTCACTCACAAAGGGGGGCTGGGAAGGGAGCACAGCCTGTTAAACCAGCAGATGGCCATTGCATCACCATCACACACAGTGGGGAAGTACGTTCGCCGTCTGTGTGCGCTGCAGTTTAGGGAGCCACTGTCATTTACACAGGAGGACTAGGCAAGGGGCATGGCTGGTAAATTGACCACAAAAATACAGTCATGCCATGCGTCAGCACAGTGTGCTGTATCTCCAAGGAAGAATCAATGACCTGCATATAAGACGTCTGCTTTTTAAATGCCTGACATGGACTGCTGCAGTTTATTGCCTTTTGTATGCTGCTGATAAATCAGACTAAAATGTATACATTTGTTAGACTGCCATATGGGATTCTTTAGTTGCACTTTCTATCTATCTATCTATCTATCTATCTATCTATCTATCTATCTATCTATCTTCTATTGTGTACATATCTATCTATCTATCTATCTATCTATCTATCTATCTATCTATCTATCTATCTATCTATCTCTCTATCTATCTTCTATCTATCTATCTATCTATCTATCTATCTATCTATCTATCTATCTATCTATCTATCTGTCTGTCTGTCTGTCTGTCTGTCTATATTTTGAACTGGTAAGGTCTTAGG